ACACCAAGGACAAGCTGATAAGTTATCAAAAGTTGGGTTTGTACTACAGCAATTTAAGTTTCTCTCACGGGATGTTTTTTTTTTAAATGAAAGTTTAAGTCACAACCTGCATTTGATTTTGAAGCCTTGTTCTAGTTTCTGTTATTAACTTTTACAGTCACATCTTGTTTCAATCAGGGGAAATAGTGCGAAGGATCCATGACAGGTTTGTATTTCTTATAATATGAAATACCACCTTTTAGATGACACACAAGTCAGGCTTTAAATAGAACTTAAGTGTGCACTGCAGTGCAACTGTGTGCTTTGCTCATCTGAAACAAACAGAGAGGGAGGGTTGTCCTGTTCATGTCCATCCCAGTTGTATCTACTGTAGGCTCACCTTCAGTACATCACTGCCATGAAAAAAAATGAAGGGCAATGTAAATGTGTGTTGATATGGAGTGTGGAGGCCACTGGCTTCCCATCATGCAATGCGTGCCTCAGAAATAGAGCAGGAGAAGGCAGGGACCCCTGGGATGGTGGCACATAGCTAAGAAAATAGCTCCTCTGCTCTCATTTAAACAGGGACAGGTGCTGGAGGATGAGAGAGGTAGCCCAGAGACAGGGGAAGAAAGAGACTGGGAGAGCTTCTGTATGTGTGGCCATGGGTGCTCATGCAAATACATCATGTCAGAGTTAACACTCCAACTGCCACCCTTAACCTCTGCTCTTAGCAGCAGATGCCAAGATGTCATTTAGCCTTTTAGATGACATCCATTTACCAGAAGAAATTTAACGCTTACAGAATGTCCCAGATCCATTAACCTAAAAAAGACAATTATGCTACATCAGTTTGCGGCCCTGTGTGAACCTTTTTTCCCCTTCTTCTTTTTCTGAACCCCTTCTCTCAGGTAATTACTGGGAGGGCTATGCCGCCCCCCACCCCCCACCCCAAAAAATAACCCACACCCCTTGGGCCCTCTCCCCAGAAACAACTTAAGCAATCCACTGTTTGACTACTGTTTAATATGGCTTTCTAAAGCATGTAATTTCCCAAAAGGCATATATTTATGCTGAATCATACATGTGTGTTATTAAAATGTGGCAATTAGCAAGGTTACAGAACTTGATAAGAGAGGAGAAAGATATCTGATCTCCGCTGGCAGTACATGCTGAACTGTAAGCACTTCACATTCCTGTTCAGGTTCTTAACACAAACTTAGCAGCCAAATGGCCAGGAGGAAGTGGATTCAATTGTAAAACAGAGAACAGGACAAAGGAACGCCAGCTAGAATGTGCCATAATATACTGTATAAGATACATTATGTTTGTGTTTATGCATAGATACAAACAGTACTCAGTTTGTAGCCTCACTTTGAGTCTCACTCTTTTAACTTCAAACAGTGAAACATTAGCCATGTAGGGCAGAGTAGTGGAACACACCCAGCCAAGCACAGAGCAGCTCTCAACTCTACTTCAGCTGAGGACGCTAAAAGAACAGACTCACAATACTGGCAAGTTGTAAAAAGGCCTACAGCTTTTAGCCTATCTACTTGCACCTTCAGTATGCAGGGTATAGCATTTTGCATTCAACGCCATAAAAACAACCAACATAAAACAAAACAAAAAGATTTAAGGCTGTTTGCTGACTTTGTAATGTAAAACACAACCAACCTACAGTAATATTAGCAATATTATCACAAATAATAATCCTAGAGTGCAGTTTAGGATAGGATGAGTGGGATATACTATGTCTCCATAGTTTTGGATCTAAAACCACTTGATTTCAATGTAGCTGATGCACCTGACGTTTGCCCTACAGTAATCAAAAGCTTTCTATAAAAAATAAAAAAAAGTTAGACTTCTGTAGCTCACAACAAAAATAAAATAACTCTTGAAACGATGGCAAATCAAAATACTAAGCATTTCAGAAGGAGTAAAAACCTGTAAATTGCCTACTTGGCTTCGGGCCTGGTGGTAAATAACAGTCCTCTTAGTTCAGGGGAATATAAACACAATCGAGCAGAGCTGGTCGGTTAGGATTGTCTTAAATATGTCCAGCCCAACAAACTCTACATTTCCTGTATTTCACTAGAGGCGGTGGAAAGCAAAACATGTCACAGTAAGTGCTCACTCCTTCTACATGAAGAGGGATAAAAGAAGAAGAGGATGGCATAAACAAAAGGGAGAGAAGGGAACACGAGAGGGGGAGCAGGTCTGCGTGTTATCATGTCTGCATGTGCATGCATGTGTGTGTGGGCGGCAAAGTGACAGGCGATGATTAGCCCAACCAGAGGAGGATACGTAGGAGGGAGTGTGTGGGAGTAGTGGGGCTGGTGTGAGAGAGAGAGAGAGAGATAGAGAGACTCTTTAGGTGGATATATACAGAAGTGGATTAAAAAAAGAACACTTATACTGTATAAACACATAAAATGACAGGACAGTTGTACACAGAAAACGCACACCACAATCCAAGTATAACTTTGGCACATGTATGCACATAGAGTACACACACGCCAGGGTGGATGCCTGTAGGAACATGCTGTACTGTGCTCCAAAGGAATGAATAAAGAGTCAAGGCAGGCTATACTGTAGTGCATTTGTTAATAATGAAAACAGCAACAGAGAGCATTATTTCACAAGGTAATTGCATTCCCTGCTCTAAGCATAATGTTTATGAGTGTGTGTGAAAGACAGGAGGAAAAGAGAGGGGGAGGAAACAAGAGCTGTAGAGCAGCTGCCGACTCTTAGGGGTGTAGGTGGGACCATTTGCAGCCAGTCTCTTACTATGCCTCTATGGAATTAACAGCCTTTAAAGAGGTGCAACAAGAACTCAAACCCATACACATACATCCATGTGTGAGCATGCACACATACAGATAGGCCATAGAAAAAAAGTTGATGTTTAAATTAATTAAAACGAAACAAGCAAGCAACACTAATCAGGGGGAGTCTGACAGCCTGAGAAATACATTTCTCATTGAGTTAATATCACCCAAAGGGGAGTGTAATGTTTAAATGCTCTATCAATACCCACATTAGAAGCAGGTTACCTACTGAGATGCAAAGTAACAATCAAAAAAATGGCTTATTTACTCACTTTACTTAAAGAGAAAATTCTAATACTTTGAATGGAAATATCTCTTAATGGGAAAGATTAGGCCAATAACAAAAGGGAGATATGAAATGTCATTCTGAAATTAAATTAAGATAGATATCTTCAAGCAATATTTCACATCCATATTTGTTGTCTACCTAGCTTCTGTGGGTTGTTTAGTTAACCTCCAGTACCCCCTTGTTCTCTTATCTGTTGATATTTCTGAGCTCTCCCACTATTTAAACAGGAAGCTCTGAGGTCTGACCATTGGTCAGGGCAGACGCACTGATCCAAGGGTGGAGACTACAAAAACCAGGTGGCTTGGAAAAAAAGCCCTTCCCCTGGGAACCACAGTGGCATGCAGGGGAATGTTGAGTGTGATAGTGTGATAGTGAACAACAATGGCAAATATCTTCAGCTACATCGCAACCTTTCTTTTTCACCTTACAAATGTACAGAGTGAATCACTCTTTGGTATAGCCTGCATGTAAGATAAGTGTTGTGGTGGAGGAGAATGACTCATTTCACATATCCAGCCCTTTGCAGATGTTCCTCCAAGCACAGCTTTTTAAAATTATATATATATTTTTTATTCATTCATATACATACTGTAATTGTGACAAAAAGGTGAGTACATTGATATACATCCACACACAGTATACTTTATATGCCCAAGTTCCAAAATCAGCATTTTCACTTCCCTTGGGAATATGTGCAACAATGAAGGCTGACTCACCGACCAGAAAACACTGAAATGCAGACACACATTTGACTGTATCTGACAATAAATATAGAATTTCTTGCTGTTAGAGTCACAGTGTTGTGTGGTGCAAGAAAAGACTAGATCATTCATGTTGCTCTCTTTTCATGACAAGTTCAACTAAGAATGTCTGACCTGGAGGAGCTCCCTGTTGTACCGGGGGCTCAGTTCAACATGGAGGCAGTGCTGTAAACTTTGGAATCAATGAAAAACCTCACAGGGGACGCCAGATAGAGAGACAAGGAGAGGGAGAGCCGTGTGCTGAATAAAACATCCTGAGAACACTTTTATGTCAGTCCCTGTTGGCTGGGCTAAAGGAAACCCAAACTAGATCTCAGCTCTGCCGCAACAAAGACCCCGTCAAATCAACAGCTACTCCTGCACAGATCCTGATGTTGAAAGCACAATCAGAGCAAAGGGAATTTCTTCAAACAGGAGCTGATTTCCCATGAGCTGTTGACATCAAATATAGACACGCTCAGTCGCAGATCACCTAGGAAACTACCGACTAATAGAGAACTAGGTGTTGCTTCTGCCATTGACCTTTCTGTTTGTAACCAGAACACACACACACAGACATACGCACCTACTTGCCATGATATACACGCACCGCCAAAGTTGCAATGCTTATTACGCTGCATCAAATTGGTAAATTCCTACCGGTCCTAAAAATGCTTCTTCAAAATATAATCTTCAGCTCTGATGAAAACATGTTGCTGTCATCAATACTGTTGTAAATAACTAATCTCCCACATCACTGTGCTGACCAGACAGATATCTTTCTCAGATATCTAACATTTCTCTGACAAAAGGAGGCCAATAAATTGAAATGTTATTTCCTCCAGGACACCACCTAACAACAAACTGCTTTAGGACTAAAACGATTCAGTAAGACATCCGATTAAAAAAAAAAAAAAAAAAAAAAAAAAAAAAAAAAAAAAAAACACCACCTCCGGTATCAGCCCACACACTGCTCTCTGAATGTTACAGTACTTGGTTTTCCATGACACCTTTTAGACAGGAAGGTGATGTTAGATGATGTGCATAAGGCTACAAAGAAATGATGCTGCTGTTGAAGGTCAGCGTTACCAAGGCCATCACTGAGACAGAAAACGGGAGACGGGGGCGGGTGTTTACAGTATCAAGTGTGTCCCAGTCACTTACCCAAATCTTTGGATCCTTGACTCTCGCTGGCCAGTTCACCCATTCTGACCAGAGCATCAAAGTAGCCTTTGGCAGCAAATGTCACATCTAGAAGCAAAGAGAATCAAGAACAAAACACAAAGCGGCTATTAAGTTACACGTTAGAGGACACAGTGTCTTTTCAAATTTGGAAAGAAACAAAACAAAACAAAATTATCAAAAGTGAAAACTTCTTTCTAGTCAGTGACAGACATTTGCACTCTTTCTTTCACCTGTGCTTTGTCTCAGATGCTTATGAATAAGTAAATCACAGCTTCTCGTCAACAGAAAATAAGGTATTGCTGATGTCATTCCGTAATTCTTTTACATCATCTTGTCAGAATTCTGCATGCTTGCTTGCAAAGAGAGAATTGTTTTCTGACAGATAATCTATGCTTGATCAGTAAGACATACAAACACAAACCATTTCCTGTTTATATGTATATATATTTTATGGCTTAGTGATTTAATAAAAGGGAGGTGGGGGGGTGATAGTACAATCTTGATAATTATTATGAAAAAAAATATATATTTATATCGCCCACAATAATGATGATCAACTGATGAGTCATTTCTGCTAAATGTATAGTATGTGTTCTGCATTTAAAAAATGAACAATCATAAAGGGAGCCAAATAAGTGAGTTCTGGGAGGTTTTTCTAGCTGTCTGGAACAGGGCACCTGGGTGGTAGTATATGATAAAGCAATTGGATCCTTTTGAGTTGACCATTTCCTATTCCTGGGCTCTTGTTGATCTGTGACCAAATGGGCCATCGAAACTCAATATTTGCCAGTCAACACCTCTGAGAAAACACTGTTGTCCCACCAAGGAAATAGCAGTGTCATGCTGTGAATCGCATGCTGTTAACCTCAACTGCCTTTTCCTTCTTCTATTTCATTTAATCTTTTTCATCAATATTTCTGAACACTGAGCAGCAGGGTGACACGGTGGCTTGGGGAGCCTGTTGATTAGCAGAGGGATTAAGGTTCATTCACCTGCTGGGGGCCCCTTTACATCGTTGGATGTTTTGGCTTCAGGTGGGCATACTGCACCATGTTTTTTTATTAGAGGGGACAGGTAAAAGGACCTCTGCATTCACACACAAACACAAATTGCTTGACTTTAGGTCTAGATCTTTAATATACAATACACAAAACAATCTATGAGGCTAATCATAATCAGCAACCATCTCTCTTCTTCTTCCTCACCAACCAAATAAAGATCAAGAGTACTCCTGTTTGCCCAGCTCAATATCCACATCAACCCCCATTATTCCAGTTGCTTCTCTGTTGGACAACAAAGGTCACATAGGGAAGAGTGAACTTCCAGTGATTTCTACCATACAGCTTGCCAATCAGAACATCTCCAGTGAATAATGGACACTGCTTTTTGGACGTGAATTCAGCTGTGGTTCAGGTGACAGACGGGCACTGTGCCTGCAGACAGCTGCCAGGTGAGAGACTCATTTACAACAATAGCCTGGCAGGGACATGATAATTCTAGCAGACAGAGGCAGCTCTGCAATAAAGGAAGTCTCCCAGACTGGAAGCCTCTCAGCTCTGCTCCAAGGCTGAGGTACATATGCTAATCCTAATCCCAATTACAGCTGAGTCAACAGCAGAAGACTGTGTGTACCTCCTTCTTCCTCACTTGCTGGGGGAACACCCTAGAGGTGAAAGCAAAGTCTCCAGAGCATCATGGCTGATTTCTCATCATTATCCCAAACAGACTTACTGCCTTGCTTGATGTGGAAAATATGTGTGTGAATGTGTGTGTGTGTACATGGGAGTTTGCACATATGTAGTAGGAGACTGTGCAAGTAGGATGGTGGGAGAGATGTCCGACACTAAATACTTCTTGCCGATGCTGCTGCTGTTGTAACTAGTTAGTGTGCAGCTGAAGGGGGTCTGAGTAGAGAAGCTGGATACTTTAATTCTGTCTAATGAAATGTGTGGAGGGGGGGCTCACAGAAACAGACTGAGAGGATTACTGGATTTCTGATTGGAAGGCAGACAATCGGTAAAGGGCTCATCTTAGAATTACTCATCCATCACCCATCCTTCACTCTAGAGCAGAGAAAGAAGAATCACACATCTCTTAATCAGGACCTGCATCATCCTCCTCATGCTACAGAGCAACTTGCATAACAAGTTCCAGGGTATGTTTGGTAGGCAGTTGGAGTCACTCATTTGTCTGTACTGCATCTGTTGTGTTTACAGTGATTGACAGCTGTGTTGAAAAACCTGGAACATTCCCATATCCAGATCCAGCATGCCTGCCCATGGAGCCCTTTTGGCATTTCTGGTGTTGAATAATTTCAGTGATTGCACCATATGGGTGGAAGTGTGTTCTCCCAGGCCCTGCTCCTGTAAATCAGAGCATCGTAGTCCCTTGGGTCAAGCCAGTCCTGCAAACTGGGTCTTTAATGGCTCAGTGATCCCCTGCCAGTCTGTCTATTATCTACATCAAGCCCAGGATTAGTTACTGTGTGTGTCAGGGGAAAAGAGCGCAGGCCTGGAGAAGGAGAGAATCCCACTAAATGCTGAACTGGTTGGACTGAAGGAGCCTGTCCTTGGGCTAAGGATGACAGGACATTTTGTGGGGATGTTTTAGGGCATTGGTCCCAAGCCAGAGGGCAAATGAAAAGTCCCCAAAGAATCATGCAAAGCGTTTAGGGGGCAACAAACATATACATGTATCCACACATTTGGCTGCTGACAGTGAGCTGTCCTGACTTCTGCATCAGATTAGAGGCCTTTTGTGTTTCTCTGAATACACCTCCACTACAATGTAAAAGCCATGCCAGAGGCTGTGCAACACATGATAAGACCTGCCCATATGGTAGAAGAACTGTCCCTTTTTTTTATCTTTTTTTTTTTTTGAAAGACAAAAAGAATGATGGGGAGATGGATTTATATATGGAGGAAGAAAGAAAGAGAAACAGACAGAGTACTGGCTTGGCTATGTGCCTGAACCTGCAGTGAAACAGGGAACACAGACAAAAATGAGGGAGGAAAAAAAAGGACTTACTGGCGAGAGCCTTCTCATAATTCTTCCCCATGGCAACAAAGTTCCGTAAGCAGGGGTTGAACTGCTCCATGATGATGGGTAGATGGATTTATATATGGAGGAAGAAAGAAAGAGAAACAGACAGAGTACTGGCTTGGCTATGTGCCTGAACCTGCAGTGAAACAGGGAACACAGACAAAAATGAGGGAGGAAAAAAAAGGACTTACTGGCGAGAGCCTTCTCATAATTCTTCCCCATGGCAACAAAGTTCCGTAAGCAGGGGTTGAACTGCTCCATGATGGTCTGAAAGAGAAAAGAAGAGATAGAACGTGGAGGTTTCACTGATCAGCAGAGCAGGGTCAAGGGCAGAGACATACATAAACCTCCCTCTGCTGCACAAAATCTGTCTCATACAGACTAAACAGCCATCGACAGGATCTTTGGACACACTCAGTGGTTATCTCGAGTGTTAATGAGGGTAGAAATGGATTTCTCCACCCACATCTTGCCCTCTTATAGTGAGAAACAGTCCATGTGGAAAGAGGCAAGAGAAGCTGGGTTTGATCATGGTGACAGAGGAGTGAGTAGAGGCAGTGGTGGAGTAAAAACAAAGTGCCTGCATATCAGTCTCGATTCTACACACAAGCATAATGTATGATGCTGCTGATCATTACTCATCAGCATCTAGACTGACAGTAAAATTACTGCCATGACATTAGACACTGGCTATTGTATGATGGAAATGCAGATGACGCTGACATTCTTGTTGTAACTACATACCCTCTTAACAAAATATACTGGCGTGCTATAAACATGGAAAACTTATGTATATCCTTATGTCATTAAAAAGCATCTAATTCTAATTGTAAAAAGTAGCTACTAAGATTTTTGTCATGGCAGCAGCAATACACTGTGTTCCCACAGAGATACAGGATCATACAGTACACTGCAGGCTGAGTCAGTCTAAATGCAGAGAATGCACAATTTCTGACATTCCCCACTACCACCGTTTCCTCTAGTTCTCATCTACCTCACCTTTCCCCTCCAGGGCTTCCTCCAATTAGCTGGTCCCCAGTCAGCTAGTCAGGAACAGCCAGAGGCCAGAGAGACAACCATAATACTACTGCAATAGCAGTCCCTATACAAGCCATCAATACTGCAGAAGAACACTTAATAATCCACTTCTAGCCTGAATCCACATTGTGGCAGAATATTATGGCATAGTGCCACCAGTTTCAACCTGAACAAACCCTTGCAGTTCATCCTGAAAATCATATGCCTCATATCTTCAGTCAGACTTCAGCACTGCTGCTTTTGCCTTCATCTTACTGTCTGTTCTTTTATTTCTTTTCAGTGAGAGCCAAGATTTGATTAGAATGATATACTGTGTGTGCCTATGCATGCTTGCTGTGGTGTGTATGTATCCTGTCAGCAGTTGTAATTCAAGCTGCTTGAGTGCAGCACAACCCACCTACAGTAGAAATACCAGTGAGTCAGACATAAACCACTGATACTTTCATTACCAGCAGTAACTATTTTATTACTCATCTCCATGGCCGTGATTGCATCTAATGTCAGTATAGAAAAAAAAAAGACTGGAAAACAAAAATAGTGAGAATTAGAGTGTTTATCTCGGTTAAATAAGTATTTTCATTATTAATTAATCTGTTTTGTCTATAAAATAATAAAATGCAGCTGTAAAAATTTCACATAGCTCAGCTGTGACCTATGTCGACTGCTTCTTATACAGTCAAAACCCCAGATACTTAGTTTACTATTATACCGTATATGATAAAGAAAAGCATGAAATCCTGACATTTGAAAAGCTGGAATCAAATTTTTATCATTTTTGCATAGTTAACCCATAATGGCCAATAAATGTTATGTCAATAGACTACTAATTAATTGTTGTACATCTACCGTTCCCATAGTTTGATGCATTGTGAAAGCATACAAACCTGTGCACTGTTCATAAACTATAAGGTTTTAACTTGGCTTTGCACTCTGACCTTGGCCTTGGTCAGAAAATGGAGGAGTCAACAGAAAGGCAAAAAGACAGTCAGGCGTTTTTCAGGCTCCCATGCTTATTGGCTGGCTGAAATCAGAGGTCACCATCCTCCATATTTAGTTCCCTCTCCTCTGATAACTGGGACTAGGCTTTGAGCAAAATGGGCTCACAGCAAATCCACCGAGCACTGGCTCAGCAGCTCTCAGGAAAACAATAAAATTGTGAAAACAACATTTGCTCCCTTTACAAAGGGCATCAAATCCACTCATTGTTTTGCATAAACATATTCCAAAGTTACCACAAAGTTATGGCAAACTGAGCAACTCCAACAGGAACTCATGTTTAAATCTGCTCATTTTATTTACCATCTGGCCCTGTTAGTCTAATATACAACAAGAACAGGAGCATAATTGGGGGAAAATCCCATGTTCAGGCAACCACACTCATAAAAATGGTCCCCGTTCTCTGCATCTAGGAAGATACAAGGCTAACACATCCCTCATGACTTCACACAGGAATTGTGTGTTCCTAAAGCTTTTGCTCTCTGCTCTGCCTGATGGTGATGTAAAGCCCATCTCATTGATGAGGATGCACACACAGTCATGCATGTGTACTTGTGCACACACCTACATTACATTAATACAAGGCTCTCTAATAAAGTGTGGTGGCGTTTCAAACTGGTGGGAGGATTACATAAGAAGCAAAGCCCAGTGCAATATCATTACGGCACTTTCTCCCACTGAGGAGGCCAAAGGTAGCCGACAAAGGCCTGACTGCCTTTCTTACATGTACTGAACACACACACGCTGACCCACTGCCAGTGAATAATAGAAGATACAGCATGGAACAATTCTACTTGAAGAATTAGATGATTAGCCACTGACATAACTATTATATAAGGGAGATTACAGTGCATTTTGAATGACACGAAGTTACAGGGAAGTGGAGAGGGGGAATAAACTGAGGTAGTTCCTTTCCTCATCTTTTCCTGCTATTGCTAAATTTATCATCCCAGTTCTCTTGTACTACATTGTTATCCTAATTGTGGCAGCTAATTGAGAAATGGGTCCAGAAGGCACATGAAATTGTGTGACATGTAGAGAGAGAGACAGACACACACACACACACACACACACACAAAGACAAAAAAAGAAAGAACAAGCAAGTGATTGAGTAGAAAGTTGTTAGAAATATTCTTTAAAAAAAAATGTATGTAATCATGTACTGTATCCTTTCCCATTCAAACACTCTACTGTACATCATCTTTCAGTTAAAGAAAAAATAAATTAAGAAATAAGTCACATCTAATCTTTTCCTTTACCAGGATGAAGAGGCTGTCCATTTTGTGACTGCCTACACGAGGACTGATTTAGTTTATTATCAGCGCTTGAGGCAAAAAAAATTTAAAACAGGACACAGAAATGTCTCCAACAAAATGAAAGAAATCTGTATGACACCCATTTGTGCAGTGAGGTGGGATAGGAAGGACATGGGGAGTCAGGAGCACAAAGACAAACACTGCTGATAACGGAAAATATTAAGAGATTTAAAATTATTTCTCCCTGCATTCTTACCGATTAATTGTCATCAACATGGAGGTAGCAACTGAAACAAGGTTAGTGCATATGAAATAGATTGAAACTATGGGACATTCATCCATCTCCACTCGTTCTGTTTTCTTCTGTCACACATTCTGTACACACATTTACACCTACACACACCCAGACAGTCATGACAGGCAAATGGGGTAATTTTAAAGGAACACAAGATGATTAGAACACAGGGGAATCACACGCAATCAGATGCCAGGATGCCATCATCTGTTCCTTCTCGCCCTCCTCTCGCTAGTTCCACTTTTTTCCCCTCTCTTACATCACGAGCACTCACAGGTCTGAAAATGCCCAGGATCACATGAGCACTGAAACCACCAATTACTGTGTTTGTGTGCATTGTAAGGACATGTCATGTGCCAACAGGCAGCAGACGTAGTCAAGCCTAATGATGCAATCATGGAGGAGTGTAAAGAAAGTGGATAATATGCGAAGGGACTTATGGCAACCATATAGTCTTTATTAATCAGGAGCAGTAAGAGTTTATGGTGGGCTGCAATCAGCTGAAGGAGAGCTAAGAGCTTTAGTCTAAACTAATTACTGTACCAAGACAAATTGATCAGGTTGCAGTCTAACCTCCTGTCTGGTTGACTTCACTGATTGATGTGGAACACTGGACCAAGATGAGACACATAAGAATCTCACAACTTTGGCTAAACAGTTTTCTGGGGGAAATCCTACTGTATAATTGAATTAAAACCCACCAGACTTCACTGAAGCAGGTTTGGACATAAAGAAGTCTTCTCATTGTGCCATATTATGTTGTGCTATTAATATGTGATGATAAAAAACAACACTGGTGGCAATACTTAAAACGGGAACATTGAATGAAAGGAAACACACCAGGAAAAAGAAAAAGAAATCACATAGCTATTTTCTGCCCAGTTAACAGTTTTACAATAAACTTTGCAATTATGCAAACATGTCCACAAGAAAATAGCCACAATTAAACAATGATGAATCAATGCTGATTAGTTTTTCCACAGGGCAGCTATGGATATGCATACTGCAAATCCATTACTCTGCATCTACCACACTGTGTAGGTCTGATTACAAAATTCTTGGTAAAAATATAACTTGAAATTTATATTCATTTCTACATAACCAAGGAACCAATGAACACACAAATCTGGCCTACACACAACAGTGCAAACAGATCAAAAGGTCAGATTTGGGAAAATAATTGACTAAAGGAATCTATGAATGTATAAAGTGGTTTGGAGTTAGTCTGGACTGTTAATTTCATACAGATACATGTACAGTATGTAGTATGAGTGTTTACCACATAAACATGTCAAAACCTAACTGTGTTGCCTTCAGAAGCATGTAGTATAGCAGAATTGTATGACAATGTATAGGGCTGGAACAATGCAATGTAATCGGTTACGTTCATCTCCAATCATGGTGGCTCCTGCCCCCCCAGGTATGCTGAAAGTCAGACTTTATTCCAAAAAGCCCAAACTTGCTTACCAAAGGTGATTATCCTTATCCAATGTGGGAATTCTTTAAACAGAGACCCAATAAAATAATAAAATGGTGCTCTACATGGTGAAACTGAAGTGGCCTAACACAGCAGCACAACTGCCCCTACTGTACGAGCATCTCACGTGAGTTAATGAATGAACCATATGCAGAATATTGAACAGGCATGTTATCCATAGCAGGACACCACAGAGGAAGCCACT